AAAAAAAAAGATGCTGACCTCAGGAATATTATTTTATTTATTTATTTATTTATTTATTTATTTATTCTGAGGCAGAGTCTCATTCTGTAGCCCCAGGCTAGAGTGCAGTTGCGTGATCTTGGCTCACTGTAACCTCCACCTCCTGGGTCCCAGTTCAAGCAATTGTCCTTAGCCTCCCAAGTAGCTGGGATTACAGGCACGTGCCACCATGCCCAGCTAATTTTTGTATTTTTAGTAGAGACAGGGTTTCACCCTGTTGGCCAGGCTGGTCTTGAACCCCTGACCTTAAGTGATCTGCCTGCCGAAGCCTCTCAAAGTGCTGGGATTACAGGCGTGAGCCCCCGTGCCCGGCCACCATCTCCACTTACTTAAAAGGGTATTCTCTCCACAGGTAGGCAGCCCTGGGCTGTTAATTTTCTTGAGCACGTTGAGCCAAAACCTACTTCCTTGTGACCTGTGCCCAAAGAGAGAAGGGACTAGTGAGGGGGAGATGCTGCTCAGGGGTGACAGGCTGCCCCCATACCCAGCCTGGCCCCTCCAAAAGTCTTGTTCTCTTGTTCCTACCCTCAGTGACCAGGTATCTCCCAGCTCCACGTTCTGTAAGGTGTACACCATAACCCCGCTGCTCAGCGACAACCGGGAGAAGCGGGGTCTTGCCCTGGATGGGAAGCTCAAGCACGAGGACACCAACCTGGCTTCCAGCACCATGTGAGGGTGGGGCTGGGGTGGGCCCCCTGCAGGCCAGGGGCCAGAGGTCGGTGCCAGCTGTGTGCCAGGCCCTGTCCTAAGTGCCAGGGATGTATCAGTGAACAGAAGAGACAAAACAACTCTGAATTCCAGGGGAGGGAGGATAGACAAATCCGATCAGTGGTAACTGTACAGCAGGTTAGTGATAAGTATGAAGGAGAGAAAGCCAGGCAGAGAAGGGAGGGATGGGGGCAGGGAGATGCAAAGGTGAAGTCGGAGTAAGGACGAGCAGAAGTAAGCAGTGTGGATGAGCAGGAAAGGAAGTTTCTGGGCAGAGAGACTCAGGGGTGGGACAGCCTGGGGTCCTGGAGGAATGGTGAGGTGACCTCGCGCCCTCACGCGGGAGCAGCCCTGGAGGTCCCCAGCTTCACTAAGGGCTGGATTTCACCTCTCCCAGTGCCTTTGTTCAGGGTTCTCACTGCACAGCCACACACAGCAGGTCTGGAGGGTAACTTAGCGAGAACTAAGTACCAGGAGAGGAGGAGGAGGAGATCGGATCAGGGGGCTAATGGAGAGCCAGACAGTGCAGGACCGTTAGAGGAGAAGGACGTCAGCTTTTACTGCAAGAGAAGCCACAGGAGGCCCTGAGCAGGGAGTGCTGTGCGCGCTGCGCTGTACCATAACCGCACCGCCTGTGCTGCTGGGGACCCCGGGGGCCTGTGCATGTTTGTGGTCCTGCTCAGAGTCCCATGGGAACCCCAAGGTCAGGTGACAGGTGACAGGGTGATGGGCCCTGGTCTGACTCTGCCACCCTCCATGGCAGCGTGAAGGAGGGTGCCAACAAGGAGGTGCTGGGAATCCTGGTGTCCTACAGGGTCAAGGTGAAGCTGATAGTGTCTCGAGGCGGGTGAGTGTCATGGGGGAGCCCAGGTGGGGGTCACAGTGGCTCTCTAGTCCAGATCGTCGTCCTCTTCACGATGCCTCTTCCCTTCCCAGGGATGTCTCTGTGGAGCTGCCTTTTGTTCTCATGCACCCCAAGCCCCACGACCACATCCCCCTCCCCAGACCCCAGACAGGTGAGCACACCACCCACCCCGAGCCCTCAGAGGGAGGGCCTGAAGCAGGGCCAGTGGAGGAAAGCTGGCCCTTTCAGCACCCACCCCCACACTCCCTCTTCCTGTCCCCTCAGCCGCTCCAGAAACAGACGTCCCTGTGGACACCAACCTCATCGAATTTGATACCAAGTAAGAAACTCATTCCCCTACTTTAACCCTCTTTGGACAAAGATTGCTGGAACATTCAAATCTGCCCTCGTACCTCTTCCTTGCTTTTTGGGGGGAGAAGGGGATTGTAGCATCAAATCAAGATGCCTTAGCCTTGTGAGGCTGCCTCTTCCTGCCTCTTCTTTGTCCCTTCCTGTAAATACCTCTGGTCCCAGCGGGGGGCACAGTGGCTCACACCTGTAATCAGCACTTTGGGAGGCTGAGGCGGGCAGATCAAGAGGTCGGGTTCGAGACCAGCCTAACCAAAATGGTGAAACCCCGTCTCTATATTAAAAATACCAAAAAAATCAGCCGGGCGTGGTAACACACACCTGTGATCCCAGCTACTTGGGAGGCTGAGGCAGGAGAATCCCTTGATCCTGGGAGGCAGAGGTTGTGGTGAGCCGAGAGTGTGCCATTGCACTCCAGCCTGGGCGACAGTGAGACTGTCTCCAAAAAAAAAAAAAAAAACCTCTGGTCCCACTGCTGTTCTAACACCTGTGTCCCAGGGGCCCAGCTTGGGGGAGGGTAGGGAGTGGGAGGCTGAGAAAAGAGTGAGACGCCCTCACCTCACACCCCTCTTTCCCACCACCAAGCTATGCCACAGATGATGACATTGTGTTTGAGGACTTTGCCCGGCTTCGGCTGAAGGGGATGAAGGATGACGACTATGATGACCAGCTCTGCTAGGAAGGGGGGCTGGAGGAAGGGAGTGGATGGTGCTGGAAGAGGTAGGGGCAGGAACAAGACCCCCACTGTCATTGGGGGGTTGTCCCAGCCTCTTTTCCCTTCCCCTCCACCTGGCAGCTTCTTCAACCAACCCCTTCAGTCTCTCCCTCCCGTCCCCCCAAGATATGCACTGGACCCATCTCTTGCTGAATGTGGGCATTAATTTTTCGACTGCAGCTCTGCTTGTCCAGCCCCGCAGTGGGTGGCAAGCTGTGTTCATACCTAAATTTTCTGGAAGGGTACAGTGAAAAGAGGAGTGATAGGAGGGAAAGGGGGAGACAAAACTCCCACATTCAAGTTCACACCAACACCTTCCATGCTCACTCTCTCTGCCTCCATTCCTTCAAGAGGAGACCCTTCAGGACAAGGCCATTTCTTTGTTTCTGTGCATAAAGAAGAAAATAAATCTTTTACTAGGCATGAGTATGTGTTTTTTCTCTGTAGTGTTTAGAGAGCGTACAGTGTGTTTATCCATGATTCTGTTAGCTTGTGGGGGAGGACCCCGTCTCTTCTGCAGCCGAAAGGCGCCTGACACAGAGGCTATCAATAAATGTTTAATGGATGACTGTGCTGTGCCTGTGTGAACATCAAAACTTGACCTAGTCCAAACTCAAGGGTTAGGCTTGATAAGGCCACAGAGTAAACGTAGTCATTTACAGGGGTCATAACAACTAATGCCCCTGCAGACAGGTGCTCACAGGAGCTGGCAGGGCAGGCTCTTCCCTGTTGCGGCTGACATGCATGACCACCTTGTGACCTGTTGTGACTGAGTCGTGTTCATTTCCACTGCTCATTATGGTTGCTCAAGCAGCAACTGTAAGAGGCTCGGTGGGACCACAACCGCAGGCCTCACCAGAACAGCCACATGACGTCTGTGGAGTCTGGTACCTACATTCCAACACAGAAGCTGAGGCTTGGGCAGCAAGAACGTCATGCTGCCCTGGGCCCATGTTCTAGGGACCACATCCTAGTGCTGCTCCTGGGACATTCATCAGGGACTCCCTGAAGCTTGACCGAAGTCCCAGGCTGGGCTGGAGGGAGTTAGCATTTCTCACCTCCAGCATCTGCTCCTACTCCTGAAGCCCCACTCTTCTCCAAAAGCTCCTTCATTCCATAAACAATCTTGATTTGAGTGCCTAGAAGGTACCAGGCATAGTATACCAGTATAATGAAAAAAACATTAATTCATCCCCCACCCTTTTTTTTTTTTTTTTTTGAGATGGAGTCTTGCTCTGTTGCCCGGGCTGGAGTGCAATGGCGCACTTGGCTCACTGCAGCCTCTACCTCCTGGGTTCAAGTGATTCTCCTGCCTCAGCCTCCTGAGTAGCTGGGATTATGGGCGCCTGCCAGCACGCCCAGCTAATTTATGTATTTTTAGTAGAGATGGAATTTCACCATGTTGGTCAGGCTGGTCTCAAATTCCTCACCTCAAGTGATCCACCCTCCTCGGCCTCCCAAAGTGCTGGGATTACAGGCATGAGACACCACGCCCAGCCTTCCTAGTTATTTAGCTATAATATCTATGCTTCAGAGGAGAAGTGTAGGAGCTAAGAGGATGCGTGACAGGGAGTTCTGACCTAGGCTGGGTTTGGGGAAGATTTCCCTGAGAAAGTGACCTTTAAGCAGAGAAGTGAAAGACACGGGGAGTTTGGGAACTGTGCAGGGATGAGCATTCTGGGTTATGGCACTGTTGTGTGAAGGCAGGAAGAAACAGCACATGTGGGGACCTAAAGAGGCCAGAGAGACTGCGACAGGACAGCCAGAAGCAGAGTAGTTCCTTCTGGCTGCTGAAGCAGATGGGGGTGGCTCGCACAGGCCTTTAGTCTATGTTATGGCTCATGCCATCTAGTTAAATCACTGTTTACCCTAAACAGGCTTCAAGTGCTACCATAAGGCCACTGACCTTGCTTACCCCGCCACAGCAGCAGCCTTCCCTGAAGACCCTGCACTTTCTCGTGTGGAATAACCATCCCGTCTAAAACCATCTCCAGCATCCCTCTGACTCCTGTGCACCTGCTCCTTGACCTCTAAGCCTATGGAGCTAACATTTTTTCAAGAGAATCAGAACCCTCAGGGTGCCATGGTAAATATCCAGAGTCTGGCTCCTCTACCTTTCCAGACTCTGAGTCAGAAGATCCCAAGAATCCAAAAATCTGGATTTCTAATTAGTACACACTTTGAGAAACTGCTCTATTTTTTGTTATTATTTATTATTATTATTATTTGAGATGGAATCTTGTTTTGTCACCCAGGCTGGAGTAAAATGGTGTGATCTCAGCTCACTGCACCGCCTCCCGGGTTCAAGCCATTCTCCTGCCTCAGCCTCCTGAGTAGCTGGGATTACAGGTGCGTACCATGATGCCTGACTAATTTTTATATTTCTAGTACAGGCTAGATCTTGCCATTGCACTCCAGCCTGGGCAACAAGAACGAAACTCTATCTCAATAAATAAATAAATGTGTCTAACTCAATGGCATTCAGTATATTCACAATATTGTACAACCATCACCTCTGTCTAGTTCCAAACATTTGGCTTCCTATATTTTTGATAATACATAAATTTTAAAAAAATTTTTTTCTTAAGTCACAGTGGCTCACTCCTGTAATCCCAGCACTTTGGGAGACTGAGGTGGGTGGATCACCTGAGGTCAGGAGTTGGAGACTAGCCTGGCCAACATAGTGAAACCCCATCTCTACTAAAAATACAAAAAACTAGCTGGGCATGGTGGGGGGACGCCTCTAATCCCAGCTATTCGGGAGGCTGAGGCTGGAGAATCGCTTGAACCCAGGAGGCAGAGGTTGCAGTGAGCTGAGATGGCGCCACTGCACTTCAGCCTGGGTGCTAGAGCAAGCCTCTGTCTCCAGAAAAAGAAAAAAAGAAAAAAAAAAGAATTCTATGTTGGGGCCAGGCATGGTGGTTCAAACCTGTAAACCCACATTTTGGGAGTCCAAGGCAAGCGGATCACCTGAGGTCAGGCAACAAGAGCGAAACTCTGGCTCAAACAAAAAAAAATTCTTTTTGTGTTTTAGGTTCATACACTAGGAAAGTTTTTTATTTTCATGTAGTCAGTTACAATAGCCAATTTTTTTTTTTTTTTTTTTTTTTTTTTGGAGACAGAGTTTCACTCTTGTTACCCAGGCTGGAGTGCAATGGCGCGATCTCGGCTCACCGCAACCTCCGCCTCCCGGGTTCAGGCAATTCTCCTGCCTCAGCCTCCCGAGCAGCTGGGACTACAGGCACGTGCCACCATGCCCAGCTAATTTTTTGTATTTTTAGTAGAGACGGGGTTTCACCATGTTGACCAGGATGGTCTCGATCTCTTGACCTCGTGATCCACCCGCCTCTGCCTCCCAAAGTGCTGGGATTACAGGCTTGAGCCACCGCGCCCAGCCTTACAATAGCCAATTTTTATTGTTGTTGTTGTTGTTTGAGACAGAGTCTTACTCTGTCGCCCAGGTGTCACCCAGGCTGGAATGCAGTGGCGCAATCTTGGCTCACTGCAACCTCCGCCTCCCGGGTTCTTCTGCCTCAGCCTCTGGAGTAGCTGGGATTACAGGTGTGCTCCACCATGCCCAGCTAATTTTTTGTATTTTTAGTAAAGACAGGTTTTCACCATATTGGCCAGGCTGGTCTCAAACTCCTGACCTCGTGATCCACCTGCCTCGGCCTCCTAAAGTGCTGGGATTACAGGTGTGAGCCACTGCACCCAGCCCACTTAAAAAAAAAAAAAAAACAAAAAAACAGCTTCTTGGGTTTTTTGTCACAAAGCTCTTGGCCCTTCTGTTTTCTCACTACTTGACACTTCCTTTTCTTTCCACCCTGTACTTCAGGGTCATGATATCAACCCCTATCTCATCGGCACACTGGACCTCTCCTTTCACTATCCTTTTCTCAAACCACACCCTGGATCCGTCCAACTATCTCCCGCCCATCCTCTACTCTGAACACAGGGGTTGATGCTCACTACCAGAGAAAAATCATTCAACAAAATTTTTTTAATTACTTTTTTTTTTTTTTTTGAGGCAGAGTTCTCCCTGTGTCGCCCAGGCCAGAGTGCAGTGGCACAATCTCAACTTACCGCAACCTCCACCTCCTGGGTTCAAACAATTCTCCTGCCTGTCTCCCACGTAGCTGGGACTACAGGCACGTGCCACCCAGCCTGGCTGTTTGTATTTTTAGTAGAGAAGGGGGTTCACCATGTCAGCCAGGCTGGTCTTCAACTCCTGGCCTCATGTAATCCACCTGCCTTGGCCTCCCAAAGTGCTGGGATTACAGGCATGAGCCACCAAGCCCAGCCAACAAACTTTTTTGAATATATTCTAGGTACCAGACACTAGGTATGAATCTGGAGCTGCTAACATGTATGGTCAACTAACCCAAGCTGGGCACCCAATGTTACAATGCAAACTCTGAATGAAGAGACCCCCAAACAGGCTACCTACGCACTCATTTTCTACCTTCCTTGTGCTGAAAGTGACTTCTGTTTTTCACAGAGATTAGGCAATGAAGGATGAATGATTTCAATTTCCCACCTCCTACTGACAGTGACATCTACACCAATTCTCCTACACAACCAAGGTTAAGATGCCTTCTCCAGCTCAAAGCTGATCCCTCCACCTGTGCTCAGATCGCTCTCCTCCCACCTTCACTGAGACCTTTATTCACCAAACCACATCCCTCTCCAACCTGTGTCTATGGCTCTTCCTCCACGGTAAAGAAGCCCACATAAGTCTCTTCCATTTAACGGAGGAAGGGAGGAAGAAAGAAAGGAGACAATCAAACAAAACACTCTTTCCTCTCTTATTTGTTTTTTGTTATTGTTTTTGTTATTTCTGAGACAGTTTGGCTTTTGTCACCCAGGCTGGAGTGCAATGATCTCAGCTCACTGCAACCTTCGCCTCCTGGGTTCAAGTGATTCTCCAGCCTCAGCCTCCCAAGTAGCTTGAATTACAGGCACCTGCCCACCATGCCCAACTAATTTTTGTATTTTTAGTAGAGACGAAGTTTCTCCATGTTGGTCGGGCTGGTCTTGAACTCCCAGCCTCAGGTGATCTGCCCACCTCAGCCTCCCAAAGTGCTCAGATTATAGTCGTGAGCCACCATATCCAGCCCTCTCTTACTTTTCATTCTTTCTTTTCTTTTTGTTTTCAAAGTTACACACACACATAGTTTGAGGAATCAGATAGTACTATAAGACCTATTACAAGAAAAAGCAGACTCTTCCCCTTCCTCCTGAGAGGAAACTACTCTTACCTCCTTTTTTTTTTTTTTTTTGAGACAGGGTCTTGATCTGTCACCCAGGCTGGAGTGCATTGGCATGATCATGGCTCATTGGAGCCTCCTTGATGCCCCAGGCTCAAGAGATCCTCCTACCTCAGCCTCCCAAGTAATTGGGACTTACAGGTGCAAGACACCATGCCC